CTCGTAGAAATCCATACAGTTCCAAAGACTGTCGGCTAAGACCCCACGCTTTTTGTGTGGAGGATTGCTGAGACCTTTCGGGGGTTCCACCCCACCCCCCCGATGAGCCGCAGAAAGCCGAAGGCAGGCGACGCAGATACGAAATGAGGGAAGGAAGGCTTTGAACTTGGACCGTACCAAGTCCATTTGAGCACCGGGAGCGAGACGGTGGGCGAAGGTTGATCAGCTGAGGGGGGTTCCACCTGGATGTGCTGGCCGATTGAAAGGTGATACAACATCATGCAACATCCTCAAAGCTAGCCTGCATCATTCTAGAGCAGCTAAATTGTCATGGGTGGAATAACTGACAATCAAGGCTTCAAACGATGATTGTTTCTTCCGGTCTCCTGGCTTTCCCTGCTGTTCTCATTTCCTGCTTCCTCTCTGGAGGTCTAGGACACCCGAGCATACTGCAGGTGCGAAGAAAGGTGAACCCAACTGCAAAGCATGAGGAAGTCATGGTTGAACATGGAACATTATAACAAAGACCCTGGTGTTCCTTCCCTGCTCATTTGTTTGAATTAATATTTGGTTATATATAGTTCGTTTGAGATGATTGCTTTCCCTTCTATACACTTATACAAACAGATCAAGGATCGGAACGACTACCATGGCCACACTGTTTGGATGCACCTCAACGCGCCTATAGACCATTTCAACAAGCCTTTGTTTTTACTGATCGAGGATTTTTACACTACACCACCAGGTCGTTCCCATTCTAATGGTCGAGACGTGAAGGCCGGCCGAACAAAAAACGGCTCTTGAGGATGTTTCGTTCCCCCACAAACACTTCTGGGATCTGAAATCCATCCTTTCAGCGCCAGTGATGTACCTGAACCCGAGCATGCCGTACCGGAACCCGGTTCCCGGTCACACCACCGTGTGTACACCATGTGACGCTCACCACAGTACGATGGTTCATGGTCACCGACTCGTCTTCAGCGACTCCTCTCCGTGGTCACCGTTCGGTGGTGCGTTGGTTCAGTTCGTTCCCGTTTCAGTCGAGTACTGCGGTGGTGGGCGAAAAAGAGACGTGACTCATGCGTTTCGTGGGGGTGGGTGAGTGGTGGGCCGTGGTGGGCGAGTGGTGTCCTGTTGAGTGTCCCAAAAACGCCACTGGTTCGTCTCGGTTCCTTTTTAAGGAGGCAAGACATATTGATCGACCAGTGTCCTGAGGTTAAGCCCTTAGCTTGGGGGAGAGGATGTGACATGATGGGGGCGTTCCTACGCACAGCTCTTGAAGTCTTCTTGGATTCCTTTTTGGCTTACATTGGGTCATGCTTCTTTGGGAGTGTTTTTGCTTCAAGGTCACCGGCGGAACTAGGGGGGTTAGACGGCGGTCCCAGAAAATGCAAGGAGTTTGGAAGTGCATGAAGTACTAAATTGGTACAATACACATGTAAGGCGATTTGAAGAGGAAAGTGGTCATCCACGTGTCCATTTGAAGCAAGTTCTTGGAGCCACTCATCCGTTGAACTAGAAGTCGCTCTCCCTTTTTGATCGTTCTACGAGCGGCCTTCACTCAAGAATCCCACTCCGAGCGCAGCGGGCTGGGAGGTGAACAGAGTGGTGAACAGCTGCGAAGCTTCTGAAATGTGACCAGAAATATGGCTCCAAAGTACTTCATTTTCATTAAGTTTCCCAATGATGTTCCCTCTTTGTTTCATGTGTGTGTGTGTGTTTTGTACTACTAAGACACCCAATACGTATATGGATCCTCTAACAATTCCGGTGTGTGCCGATTCCAGATGACTCACCACCCCTCTCCGGCGCGTCCGACGCAGGCGCTCCGATCAGCGGGAAAGACCGCCTCCAGTGTGGGCATGATGGAAGGCCGGCGGGTTTCGACGCGACGCTTCGGCGCCGCTTGGGACGTAGGACCTGTTTGGGACTATTGGCCGGATGATGGGGTCGATTTCAGTGGTCAATGTAAGCATACACATTCCATATATGGATGGTTTGGGTCAGACCCTGTTGCGGAGACGACATGTTTTTCCCAGGCTTCCAGGCCCCCAATTTTGAAGGTCCACTTGGCCCTCCGTAACGTGGAAAGAGAAGAGTTCCTGGAAAGATTGCATGGTCCTTTACACAGAAAGAGCCTTCTACTGCCATGTTAGTGAGTCAGACCGCCAAATCTGGGATTCATCGGATCAATGGTCAGATCGCTTGGGGAACAGCAGCATATCGCAGATCGGATAGCGGGGTTATGATATCAGTCGTGGGTGGCCTCTAATATATGGCGTTTTAATGGTCTTTATTTTGATAGGGAGATCCCCAACCAATGGGTTTGGGTCTAATTCCCTTTTTTTGAGGGGTCGAACTAGGTATGTGGAACCCCAGGGCACTATGTAACCCAGACACTCCATGTATGAGATATTTGCCTACATTGGGTGCCTTCAGGGGTCAATGTACTATGTGTGTTGCCTTCTCACTCACACCCTCCTCGGTTTGCCTGACACTCGATCACCCAGATTTTCTTTTTCTCCAGTTAGTTACAGCATCTCAAGATGAAGATCCCCCTAAAACAATGTCGAAGCTTCTTCAACCGGTGGTTGAATGGCTGAAGCACAGCCGATAGGATCCGGAAGCGTAACCGAAAGCGACCGGATCAGCGGTAGAAACACGTTTTAGCCCCTGTGGAACAAAGGGAGGCATCAGCTACCCTAACTTCTCCTTTCTACAGGGGAAGGATTCCCAGTTCCCTGAAGAGTGAGATTTGTATGATTTTATTTGTACATTTCTGCATGTTGCACAAGTCGTTCTTGAGCTGGAGCTTCAAGCTTCTGTTGGCTCCCGCAGAAGGGTTGGTAGAGTCATCTCCAAATATGGGACAGGTCGGTGTTTAATTCCAATTGCAGCCTTTCCAACAGGCATAATCCCCACATGCATGGTCCAAGTGTAGATCTCGGTGGTCGCCGTATCATTAAAAAAGTGCAGGCGCCTTCTTCGTGTCCCGCACCGAGCTCTTGGAATGGGTGCGCCACCCTCTTCGTGCTTGCTGAGCTAGCTGGGGGGTGAACGGGAGCAGCTGGATGGGACACCTTGGCTCGCCTGAAAGACAAACAAGAAAAGACACCACAACCCACAACCGGGACACTCCATGGGACTGGAATATATGCATACATTGACCCAATGGAATGTTTGGGCCCTGATGCACTGACTCGATCCCAGGTTTGTAGGCCTCATAACAGCACAGCACAAACCCTTGATTCTTGATCAAATCAGGGCATCATCGGGGGTTTCATACGATGGCGGGGGGGCGGGTTTTAGGTCGGACCTTGGCTCGAACTGACTTGGCCGGTCCGTTCGCATGGTCTGGTCCTTCCGGCGCCGATGACGCCGATTGTTGGTTGGTTAGTTGCATTGAGGAGTGGGATGATGCAAAGACCGGATTCATAACCCTCCCCCTCCAGGTTTGCTATTTGGGGAGTGCAGTTCCACTTTAATTGGGGGAGGTCAAGGAGGAGAGGTCACCAAGACCGAATCTTTTTCATGAGGAGAGGATCCCAAGGCCACCCGGCGGACCGAATTGTCGGGGTTCGGACTAGATCGATTGTGGGGGACCCCCTTTCACAGCTTCAAAAGTCATTTTTTGAGGGTAGGGTAGGACTTTACTTTATCTAAATAGTTTTGTAATGAATTTTCTTGGAGTGGTTTTGTGAAGGATGGGACGAGGCAAGTGGCTGGGACCAATGAGGCATTTGCTAAGGCATGGGCCAACCATGAGCCAGCAGCAACCAAAGGATTGACCATAGTGATTGGAGTTTGGGGTTATTGGAGTTTGGTTACATAGGATGGGAATGATGGTGGGAGGAAGGGAGTGGAAGGCAGTGAGTATTATTGACAAATAATGAAAAAGAAAACACATTGCACCAAAACCGGTCGGCAAAACTCTATAATTGGCCGGGGCTTAGTATATGTCATTCTGTGTGTTCTTTTGGCCCGGTTGTTTGTTCAAGGCGTTTCTCATTTGTTCGAGGCCCGCCGTGGGCCAAACTCATCGGGTGGGTTTGTCCGATTGGTTTCATGCCACGACGGGGGATGTGGACAAATAGATGCTTCGTTCACTCCAAGGCACCTGCCGGAATGGTTTTTTTTGCAGGTTCAAACAGCTGGTTGGATCAGGTTCAAACACGGCCTTATACAACCTGGAGAGTGGAGAGTACATGCATGCAGTCCAACTGGTGGGTGGTACCGGTGAAGGTGGGCCTTTTGGTCAGTTCGGCCGTCGGAAATTGGCTGATCTCACGGCTGTGAGTCACTTGAAAGACACAAAAGAGTCCCAGTGGGTTCGGCATGAAGCCTTTGGAACCGAAGAGGTTTGGCCAATCTCACCCAGTTCTTCAGTGGTTTTCAGTAATTACTGAGAACCGGATGTTCCTGCAATGTTCCTGTATAAACACCTTACTCCACAAACAAAACTCAACTGTTTGGGTGAGGATCAACAAATCCAGGTCGTCACTTGTTCATGTCCGCAGTTGGATCACTTTGCTGCTTTTGCACTAGACGCACAAGCAGAGTGGCTAGCTCGACTGTAAAGGCTTTGCGATGGTGATAAACCACTAGTGAGAACAAGTGAGTTTGTATTGATAGACAAGGTGAACCTTAGTTGAACAGGTTGGGGACTTTGTGTTGTATTGGGCGAATACTTGTGACGGTCTCTTCTGGCAACTTCAGTCTTTGATCATTGAATATTCGTTTTCGACCAATTATGTCCCCAGGCAAAGTCAACCTGTCAGAGGGCTGCCACCCGTAAAGCAACCTTAGTCCTAAGGACTCAGGACGTTAAGGTTTGCTTTGGTGATCTTCAGATCTCTTGGTGATCTTCAGAATTTGGAGGAGCTGAAGGACACCAAAGAGATGTGAAGAGATCTGAAGATCACCAATTTCAGATAGCTAGTAGTAACAAGTGCCTTGCTAGTAGTAACAAGAAGCTAGTAGAAACAAGATCTTGTCCTTCAGCTCCTCCGAATTCTTCTGCTCTCGACCGGGCGAGACGGCAGCTCTGCTCGTTCGCCATGGCAGCTCTGCCGGCTTGGCCGTCGGCGGTCGCTCCGCACGCCGTCGGCGCCACGGGGCTCCATGGGGCACTCGAGAGATGGCGGGGGAGGCGCGAGGGACTGGAGGGGTTGGAGGGTTGGATCATCCAGTTGAGGACTGACTAAGATCAAAACGCGAGATGGAACGATGGAAACGTCAAGAGGCTTCAACAGGTTCTGGATCCACACAACAATAGGGTGTACTTTGGTCTATCTCAAAAGGACGTCACAAATACAACAGATTGCGGTGCAAACGCAAATGGCTGAACAGCAAATTTTGCCTCCAATTTGCTGACAGAACTAATATGGCACCGCGCGTTTTGGTGGCCCTTTTTAGGGCCTCCATTGAAAGGGCCCAGAAAGCAGAGACACGCGTGGTGGAGCATGTCGACCCCGAGACAAAATTTGTGTGTGGGCGGTGTCTTTCGGATGGTTTTCAGGGTTTTTTTGCACTGATTCAGAATGAGTTCCAGAGACAGAAATGGGTCGCAAATGGTTCACTGCAGTGTGAAAACCGTGCAGCACTATCTCTACATGGGCATATTGTGCCCCTTAATGTAAATACGGTTTGGTCAAAACCTGGAGCCCTATTGACATCCCCAGCAGTCTATTCAGTTCATTCTCGGTCAAACAAGGTTACCCCGTTTTGTGTCGAAGGACAGGATGCACGACTGCTGTGGGGTTTGGCTTTAGTCGCCTGGTATTTGAGTAGTTTCCTTAGAGGAACCACACCAGAGCCCCCGGTTTGGGGTGGTGGATGGACACCCCATCACCTCCAAGGAGCTATTGGACACCCTCAAGGTGCCCCACCGGCCCGTGACTCGTGACCTTCCTGGGTCCGGGACCGGAAGCTGATGCTGGACCTGGAGATCCTGGATAGTAGTGGAGGGATGGCATATTGCAGCCTGGTGACCCAGTTCAGGGATGGTTCTGGTATCTTGGACTGACTAAGTTTCTGGCAACAGAAAGGAAAGACCCTGTCCTCAAATGGGGCAACATCCAGGAACACACGGCTCAAGTGGGCATGATCTTAATGTAAGTCACAGCTAGCACCCGGTTTGGGTGGATAGACCACAGGCATCCCATGTGCTTTACCATCCAATAACCATACTGTCTGGTGCGGTGCTGGAGTATGTCATATTCCACCCACGACAAGCGGATCACCATCAATTTAACCAGCCTTGAGTCGGGGATTGGTTTCCCAACTCAAATCCCACAGGTGGAAAAAAAGGCGAAATCGGTATGAAGGCTCCGGGGAGAGTCAGCGATTTGTTCCACCACCACTGTTCAGCGCGGCCAGCGCCTCTCCAGGAGCTCTCACCTTCCGTGTGCTTACCGTCCCCATGCCCTGCTTGTGGCTTCACCGGCGAGGGGGGGGTTGGAGGATGGGAGAACGATGGGGCCCTCCTTTCATTGATTTTTGGTGAAGCACCGATCATCACATTGCTGGTATGGGTCAGATATATTGTTAAACATGGACGAGACCATGGGTTACCAGGTTCACAGTTTCACATCATGTCCTTCATGTCCTCAGTTCCTTTGAAATTGTGATCCACAATGACATCATGTGTTTCACATCATGTCCTAAACATTCCTAAACCAGTTCCTGACTCTCCCGAACCATTTGCTGCCTTTTTCGTCGGCAGTCGGGCTGCAGTGGCGCCTGCAGTCGGAACCACTGGGTCCACCAGGCCGGAGCGGCCTGTCTCGCTCTGGTCTGCGCGAGTCTCGCCAGTTTGAGACGGTCCAAGGCAAGGTCGGGACGAGGAGAGGGTCGAGTGAGCATCGACTCGTTGAGTGAGAGAAGTCTTAGTTCTGCCACCGAACGTGAGGTACGGTGAGCAGGGAGACGATATATAGGCGCCATGGGTTTGATTCCCAAGTTCCTTCTGAGATGGCACGACTGGATCCATAGGGGACTCTTATAGGCATCATGTTTCTATACCACCCGGTTTCGTATGCAAATATGCTATAGTCCATCTAGTCCCATGGAAGGTTTGGGGTAGGAATCAGTGAGAAATTGGGTCCCTTTAGGAATGGGAAAGCGATCTATGATCAAAAAAGGATTGCGCATCAGAGTACCAGTTTAGCCCAAAGGTCCAAGGATGGTTTGGGTCATACTCATTGAGTTGTTGGTGCACTGCTTGTGCGAATCACAGTGTTTTGAATTGAGCAACTTGTGCCAGACCTGGTATTTGGCCCTTGGCAGCGCATTGTGTTTTGTCATGTTTTGTCTTTTGGTACCAGCAACTAGTGCTGATTTCCGATGAATCATGATTGTCCTCCCATGTCAACCAAGATGTGGCACGAGAAGAGACGGACAACTACGCAACCACGTTTCGTGGGCAAGTTCCATAGCGCTGGACCGAAACGGTTCAAACTAGTCATCCTGACACCTGACACCACGAAGGAAAACTGCGATGTCATGAAATGATGTGAGGCACAATGATGGACAATGGACATGGTAGGATAATCTTTATAACCAAAAAAATCTTTGAAAAAACACAGTGACAACTATGAATTATACTATATGCTCCAATACGATCAATAATTCCCTCCAGAGCTCAGCCAGTCGGCTAGTGGCGCAATGACAGACTCGTCTTGAGAGACATACCTGGAACCTTTCCAGGCTTCTCTCAAAATCCGGCTAGTCTCAGGAAAGCCCGCATTCACATTCACTCGCTTCCTTGTAACTTCTATCTGAGTTTTATGTCTCTTCATATCGCTTCTCCATTCTTCTCCCCAATCTCAGTCAGCAAAATCTTGCTTGGGTCACATTGGCCCATTACCTGCAACAGCCGGTAAAACAAGTATCTGTCACTGCATGTATCGTTTTTTTTAGAGAAAGGGGGGGAAGGCCATGATCCGCCACAGGGCCCCCATGGTGTTTTGGGACATACCCCAAGAGATGCTAACTACCTAGCACTTCCTGGCCGGGTGCCCAAGCACTTCCGACCTGTTTACGTAGGATATAGATGGATATAGTGTAGTCTAGCCAGGACACCCAGACAGGATGATCCTGGTACATGATCTCCAAACAATGCCATAAATAAACCAGGTGAAAACCATGTCATCTGGTTATTGGATGATCTCCAAACAGCTAAATCAAGAGATGCCACGTTTTCGCCGGCGAAGGGCTCCTTGGACCGAAGACGACGGCGCTGCGCATGCGCCGCACTGCCCAAGCTTCCGCCCGTGGAAGGCGCGACAGCGCCGGGAGTGATAACCAGGTGACCTAAGATACCTATGGTGGTGGATTTGGGATATTTGATGTGTTTGTTGTTTAAACCAGATGATTCATCCCACTGAACTCTGTATGTATCAGCTGGTGATTTCTTTTTTTGGAGATGATTCATCCCACTGATTTCTGTATGTTTCGTTTGTGCGTTGAAGTGTCTTCTAGGTTCCGTCGGCACCATCGAAAAAATCCCCCCCCGCCAACGCCTCGAAAAAGGAGCCCTAGGGTTGTTTCAATCACCGCCTGTTGGGCTGTCAGGCTCGGATACTGTCCCTACAAATCTATACATATATATATATATATTACATACCTTGTGAGAAAATGATTGGAGTCTATTTATGTAGGCTTGGAGGGCCCAAATACCTTCTGAGAAGGCTCTTGGATCCATAGGGTGTATGTGTTGTTTTTGATTCTGTACCCAGTGGATCCAATTACCACCATAGCTGGTATAACCAGTGTTTCCAATGTCTAAACCATAGACCTAGAAACCCTCGTTCCGTGTACAGTGATGCTTGAGGGTTGGGGCTTTGTCAAAGCAAATGGATTCAGAATTCAGAAAAGTATTGCATTCAGAGTGCTCATATTTCGGGGATGGAACTGGGAACCCTCACATGGAAGTGGTCGGGCAAAGACGTGTCGCGAAGGACTCCAATGATTAGAAATCTGGGCTGCTGGGCTGTTGTAACCTTTTTTTGGTTGTGTGTATACTCATCTTCTTTCTGTCCACGCCCTCAGTCCTTCAAGTTGGGAGCTTAGGCGAGAGTCGCCCTCCGTCCGACTCCGCGCCTGTCGCGGTCACTCCGTCCGGTCCGATCCTTTCGCCCACGCGCCGGTGCGGAGGCCGCGCGGAGCAGTCGCCCTTGGCCTTCTCCGACATGGCGAAGCCGCTGGGGTGCGAGCAGAATCAGGGTCTTACCGGAGGGGAGACCGGAGGGAGAAGCATGTGGTTGCTTTTTCCGGTCGGAGGTGTGACTAGCATCGGGGAGGTGCATGGGACTCTAGGAGTGGCATCGATGATTTGGAGACAGCCAAGAAGTTGACACGAGACAAGAAGGGTTCGAACAGCTTGGAGGGTGGTTCTATCCTTATGATATGCCGTGGCCTAGAAGTAAGAAGGAGACCCCTACCGAGGTGGGTTTGGCGGTATATTTAGGCTGACCAGCTTTGTTGGACATATACAAAACCCATACAAAACCCTTAGGTATACCCAAACACTCCATGCATGGCATATAAAATATATACGCCATTATATGCGTATACCTTCGAGTGGTTTCAGGGGTCAATGTAATAAGGCTCACATGTGTATGTAACGTTATACAATATATGGGAGTTGATGTTGATCTAAAACCCCGTGTGGGGTCGCATCCATGCCGCCCCCTACATGACTTGCTTCAAAACGGATACATTCTACATTCAAAAAATGTGTTCAACGGTTTTAACTTTAAAACAACGTATAACATCAACAGAAAAAAGGAAGAAAAAAACGGACTTAGGACTTGGAACTGAATGGAACCAAAAGAGCAAACAATGACAGTGACAACAGGAAAACATGTGCACCGCGAGCAAACTACAGAACCCTCACAAACCAACTTTCATGCTCCTCCTGGCCCAGTTGGCTATCACCTGGCACTCTGATGGTGGGCCGCTATCCCATGCTTGAGAAGAACAAGGCCGTGCACAAAACCGTGCTCAAAGTTTTTTTTAATGTCCTTTTGGACTTCGGGCCGGGGATTCCTCAAGAAGATCGTCAGACTTCAGACCCCCGCAAGACAGAAGGCAGACTTCAAAGCTGCCTTTGCCCAAAGTCTCAGGAGCACCCCATTTGAAGTCCGCCAAGTCGTCCCCGCAGGACGCTTGCCGGAGGCATCTCCGACGGCTGGTCACGGAGGCGTCCCGCCGGTGACGTCACGGTCACGGGCCAGGTTGCTCATCGGAAGCATTCTTTACATTATACATATATTATAACCGTTTACCAGGACCCTCCAAGGGGTGCCCTGTCTGGAAGCCTAGTGTCGGTAGTGTGGGGTAGTCCAGCCAGGACACCCTTTGGAGGGTCCAGGTACATGTATAGTAACAATAGGAAGACATGATCAGTTTGCCATTCGATCGTTTCAGAACATATAGCTTAGTTTCATGTCTTTAGGTGTTTTTTTTTGCGATGTTTTGTTTGGGGAGATGTTCCCCACATTCTATCTACTCAAGGATGATGGCAATCCACCGGACGCTCGGCTGGACCGGACTGTTCGAAAACTAACGACCAGTTGCATTGGGTTATGCTGGCCGGGGCGCCGCGGGGCGCGCAAGAATTTGTTGCTGTTTAAACAGGTAGAACATTCTAGAACCCAAGGTGTTTTGAACATCTGGGATCACCTTGAGCCGTGGCAGACCTTTCCTGCGTGTTCCAAAGCCCTGGTCGGCCAGGCAAAGATCTCCACGTTCGTGTGCGTGCAGAGCGAGGTGGGTCAGTGGCGTGATGCTAATGCAGTTTCAAATATGAATAAATATGATATAGATCGATGTCTCATAAATGTTCGCCGGCGTCGCAACCATCATATTTCATGACACTGCTCAACATTTCTTATTATTGTAATTGCATGTTTGGATGAACACATTGAAATCTCAAAGAGGAGTCCAGCTCATTGAGTTGAAATGTTGTGTTTCGCCGCGCGATTCTGTTGTTCAAGCAGTTAGCCAGCCACATCAGTGGGAGGGTCACCAGCCACCTTACCTAAGTAGCATTGAATCAAAACAGAGGAGATTCTTACGGTGCAATTTTCCCACACTCCCTTTAATCCTGCACTGTTGGACCAATCCACTTTTAACGATTTTTGAGTGGATATGCAAACAGCTCGCGCTGCTGTGCTGTTCACGGGATCCGGGAACGTTTGCCATTGGTTGGCGATCATCCTGCACTCTTAGGAATGCTTCCTCCACAAAACCAAGGCCTTGCAAGAGGTGTCTATAATATCCTCTTAGTGGTTAAGGGGTGTCCAAAAACCACCTGTTGGAAGGTCTTGGTATAGTCTTGTTTGACGTTTGGGTGTTCACAGGTCACCCGTCGAGTGACGAACGCAGGCTGCCCCCGTCGCTCGATTGAGCGTGACCTGACCGCCATCTGGACATGGCATTTATTGACCGCCCCAGAGAGAGCCCAGAATTCAAACTAACTCTTAATATATTCTAATATGTTTATACAGTAAATAGAAGCAATATGTTTGTTTGGAGTGTATAGGTAATTGAACATATATGGCTTAAAAACATGTCAAAAAATTGAAATCATGTCACAACCCCACAAAGGAACGGGGTGGACTGCAGGTCACTGCAGGCTCCGGCACTCGACGCTCCGTTCTCAACCAGGTGCCCTCGCAGCTGGACATGAAACGATGGCCTCCGGGCGGGGTGGACGTCCGAAGACGCAGGCGCGAGGGTGACGCCGCCGGTGGCGCAAAAGTTGTTGGTGTTATTTGGCACAGGCGGGGGTGGGAAGAGGATGAAGACGGTGAAAGACTTTTTGGAGAAGTGTGGTAAATAAATGATTTTGATTGAAATGAAGTTGATCCGGAAGAGGATTGACAGGGCGAACCATGTTCGGAATGGTGGAGGTCCGGCGTGCAACGAATAAAACCGCTTCTGGTGGTCACACTGTGACCGGACGCTGAATGTTGGCTTGGAATGATATAGAACATATAGATCGAATGATCATCCCTGTGAAAAGACTGCTTTCGTTGAACATTCAATCATTCCGTTAGGACATGCAAAAGCAGGACTTTCCACTTGCATCCCCCTCACGGATTTGTTCGAACGAAAAAGCCATGGATGCGCTAGGTGTCTCCCCTATGCCCCGCTGGCGCGGCAGTTCGCAAAGCACAAGCTGGCGCAGGGGGGGTCGTTGAGAAGTGGGTGGTGAGGATGGGGTACTGTACCTGGAACAGCTCAACCTTCCCACAAATCATGGAAGCTGACCAGGACCCCCTTGCAGAGGAAGGATCTTCCAGCAACCTACGTTCCACTGCCATGATTATTTCAGTGTAGCTATTTTCTCACCATCAATCAAAGTTCTGCAGTACAGCTACCTGAAGGAAGCCAAAATCGTTAAATTCTAACTGTCTTTCTCTGAGAGCGGGCTTGGACCTAATCCTGCTCAGGCAGGCCTCGAACTGCAAACACCTTCTACAAAGGTAGCAAAGAATGCCTCACGGACCCCAACATGGACCTGAAGACTTGGAGGTGTTTGCGTTTCCAGTGAACACGCAGCGAGCTTGTGCCTGCAGATCGTGTAAAAGCCCATGAGATCATTCTTCAGAGAGAGACCTTATATGTTCACAGATCGTTGCAACCTATGGGTTGTAACCTGTGAGATCATTCTTCAGACAGCCTTCCCTCTCACCAAGCTCCAGTAGGGGTCCTGTAGGTGGGTGATAAGCCAATTGAAAGCCTTCAGTTTGAGTTCTTGTTGATGGAGAGATCATGGCAATCCATGACAAAGAACAATGTTGAAGAGACCCTGTCACCACATCAAGGTTAGATATCACTACATCAAGGATAGATACAACTCCTCAAGTGAGTTGGATTCAAACATGTTACGAAGCTCATCACACCTCTTTGGGGGAGACCACCACATCAACCACAGCGGTCTGCACCCGACGGTGACGTGCGGAACACCTCCGCGTGGCTCGCGGTCGCGACCAGCACTTCCTGCACGAGCCGATGGAAGACCTCGCCACGCCTGGCCGGGAACTCGAGTTCCACGCAGAGGTCCAAGGGAGGCTCAAAATTTAGATTGGACGTTCTCGGCCTGTGAAGGTCTTTTCTTGGACACGGTTCAAAACGGAGTTTTCTAGGATTTGCAGAAAAGTATCAAAACTGAAAAAAAAAGGTTTTTGAGGATAGATGATTCAAGAAAAATTGTTTTTTTTATGTTTCAAGAAGAGTAGAAAAGCGATCGCCGCGCCGACCATGGAGAATTCAGGCCCAAGAATGCTCAGAAAACACATAATTTTGATTATTGCAAATGTTGCAGATAACAAAAAAGCAGTTTTCTTAAGATTTGTGCGTGGAAAAATCTTGAATTTGTGATTTTTTGCAATGTTAACTAATTTTTAAAAACACCTTTTTTCGAGATTTACAGGGAACCCCAAACACAAAAAACATGTTTTTTTTGCTCACTGGTGTTTCATTGAAAAAAGCAAAAACAACAAAAAACATGGACTCCAAACAACGAAAAACACATTTTTCATAGATCTCAAACTTTGGAAAAAACATTTTTTTGCTGGTTCCAAACCTCCAAAACCAGCCCAGTCCAACCTTTTGATGCATGACTTCGGATGTGTATCCGCTGGATGCCATACCGACAGCGACCAGCAGTGGTCAAGCGGCGCTGATGAGGGCTTGCAAGAAAGCCCGCAGGAACACGCGTGTGGAGCAACACGTGAACAAGGACATCCAATGTGTGAGTGTTGTTCAACTTATGCTTCACTTCGGAAAAGTCTGTTGTTCTTTTGAGCACAGTTCGTCTGAGAGTACTAACCACACGCCTTGCGCCTGAATCAGAAACTACCCAACTTATTTCTGTGCCCCCTCTTTCTGGGCAAGGAGAGGCTTGCTAGTGCACCACTGGGCACACGGGACTTAGATGCCAGAACCTCAGTGCAAATACTTGGAGCTAGCTCACAGAGAGATAGGAGAGCGATCAGTAGTCCAGGTGTCGTGTAGGTTGGTTGGAGTTGGAGTTGTGTTCGAGTGCGACTTGGACCTTTCTGGATTTGATGTGAGGCTGAGCTCCAAATCCTTTCAGCATGGCTCCCGGGCTACATAGCCTGCAGCCATGTGGAGGCCGTGGCCAAACACATCACGCAGGGGATCGCTGAACTCGCGGAGAAGACTGGTACCATAGACTCACACTCAAAACTTCTGACAGACTTACTCGGGGTCAGAGCCTTAGGCAGTCTACCACTATATGGCAGTTCCCGCATTTAGCCACTCAACCCACCAAGTGCACCGACAAAAAAAACATGAAACAGGTGACAAGTGGCCGTGTTCTTTTCGTGGAGATTTGTTGCTTGACGCGGCCCAAGGAGTCCTTTGACAAACGTTTCCTTCGGCTGTCCAAGCTGAATGTGGCTGATGTCGTTTTACGATGCCAACGAGATGGTTTTAAACAACTAGCCATGACCTTAAGACCTGGGCCGGGCCCTCCCTCATTAGACCAAAGACCCACCTAACTCCTGGCTCGCTGAGTTTGACGACGGCGAGATTGAGATTGGATCTTGCCACCGGCTTGGTGACAGTCAAAGCCATCAGGGCGCCACTGACCAGAAAACAGTCATGGTCCTCAATACTTGGTGCTGGGATGAGACAGATCCAGGGCCATATTTACCGGAACATTTAGGGGAGAGGTTGATCGGGGAGCGTTGGAAACACTGGCTTTCGAGGGAGCCCACTGATTCCTACAGTTTTTTTTTTCCCCGGCGTTGCCGTTGCCTTCAAGGAACAAGTCGCGTCAATCATTTTGCCCGCGAATCTGGAAGCAAGTTCCAAGCTTTTGCAACTGTTTGATTCGCATTTGCGTTTGCAAATCCAAGATGGGTGTCTCATAGTGCAGCTTAGCTCCATATCTATCTATCTATCTAATCTGTCTATCTATCTATCTATCTATCGATCTGAATCTATCTATCTATTCAAGACTATCACTATCACTGTCACTGTGTTTACGTCACAGTCACAGTCCTTTTCATTTCTAGCATGACGAGCCAGTTGTCGCCAAGCAAATGAGGCCGAGGGAGAACAGCCGACGAATTGCAAAATCCGTGTCTGGTCTGGTGCTGTCTGGGACCTAGACGACTTTGCGACAGCGTTATCAAATGAAACAAAGCCCAAACCAAACCTGAACATTGTTTCTAGCCCATGATTGCGGCGGCCAGGGAAACTATGGTTCAAAGCGGTGACATCCGGGCAGCGGCCTCGCAATTCCTTCCAGTAACCAGTATCGACTACAGTTACAGTTGCAGGTTCCAGGTCGAGGTTGCTGTTACTGTACTGGCTTACCGGGTTACCCGCAGCCTACTCCTGTTACCGACCGTTACCAGTGAGTCTTCTTGCTTTGCTGAGGTCGTGCTGCTGAACCCAGCTTCCAGTCTGGATCCTGTGCTGCTCCGCAAGGTCAGCTCAGACTGACACTGAGAATGAAACTTTACAAAGACTGTCTGTCAGACGATGCAGGAGCAGGTGGCTATTCCACCCATTCGATTGGCCCGGTTGGATGCCTCTACCATCCTGAAAGGTTTGGACAGATGGAAACCTTCCTGGAGGCCTTTAGTTGAAATCTTGAATGTGGGGGCCCGGTGAATGCGCAAGACTCACTAGTTCTAGTACTGCGCTCAACATCTGCTGCCAGCTCGCCGCTATGCACCGCAGCGAGGTACACTGTGGAAATATTGGTATGTGATGGAGCTCCCGCCAACGATTTGTTGAAGAAATTCCAGGTGCGCTCCAGCCGCGCCAATATTATTTTCTTCTGAAGCTAGGGTTCCAGTTTGACTCAGGTGGCGCGACAGAAGCCACCGAATTGCCTTGAGCTGGTCTCAGAACTTTCACTCACACACCCCTTTCACTCACGTCAGTCACATCAGTTAGTTGCAACACTGTGCAGATAGTGGAGCTGGGATGCCAGTGCCATGCTGTGCATCTTTGTTCATCGAGCCAAACCGCCGCCCTTGAAACTTAGCTTGTGAGTGTGTGGTGTGTGTGTGGGTGTCTGGCTGCTCATAGCATCCAATCTTGATTTTGTAAGGATGGGCCCTATTGCTGGAGGGAGCCTGTGCCCCCACCAAATCCAGGAGTGGAAGAACCTGTGCGCAGAGGGCGTGGGCGCGGACGGGGTCAGAGGCAGCCAAACGCAGTGCCAGACCTGGTTGGGAGAGCAGAACCTGAACCTGCTGTGGACAAGTCATCTATGATCACAACGCTTTGTAGTTTGGTCAGGCAGGGTCAGTGTGAGTGTGAGTGCTGTATACAGTATACAATTTCCCGTTGCGGCCGTTGCCGTTGCCGTTGGTTGCCGTTGCTGGTGACAGGCTAAGCCACCAGCTGAAATCCCACACTGCGTGGCAAAGTATTTGTGACAATGTGACCAAAATGATCAACGAGCTGTTGGAATTTTCCTATGAACGACTGACGCCAGCAAATGAGAGAAACTTCAAACGAAACCAGACTACTTTGGAAATTCTGGGCCAGCTTGAGAGCGCAGAGTCTGTGGAACACGCAGCTGATCCAGCTTTTGTGCCACCAGATGGACAGAAACAAACATCTTCGTCTAGCCGTGGAAAAAGCTGCGCACCACGAAGCCTCATCAGAACTCTTACAGAGTCTTGGTCGAACGGTTGTTGGTTGTGAAAGCGGTTGGATTGGGTCCAGCTGTGGAGATAATCAACGAGTCAGTCAACTGAGTCAACGGTTTTGTTTTGGACTTGTGAGGCTTGTTGGCTACCACGACTGGTCCGACACAACAAGAATTGTGGTGTACCTGGGTGAAGCAGCGCAACAGCAGCAGTTGGACGAAGCAGCCGGTTTCCGAAGGTCTTTGGTCGAGCACGTCTCCAAGCTTGTGAAATTGATTTTGTTGAACCAACGACCAGCGCAACCAGCTCAAAGTCGATGGACAGGTGTCCCATGTGTGGCACGATTTGCCTTTGGGTTGTTTGCCTTTCATGGGCTTCTTGCAAAGCTGATACAGAGTTTGCCTGGCGGAACTAAGCCAGGAAAGGGGAAAGGCGGTAGAGGTAGGGGCAGAGGGAGAGGAAACGGCAAGGGTGGCAAAGGTAGAGGCAGCGGCAAAGGCAAAGGCGGCAAAGGCAAAGGCAAAGGCAAACAAAAAGGCTTAGGCTTAGGGGGAGACAATGACAATGATGATGATGACGATGGTCCTGGTCTTGGTGATGATGGGGGGCCATCCCAAGCGGGAGCTGACCTGGACGTGCCGGGCTTGTCTCGTCCTGGATCTTCATTGCGCATTTTCAATTGTCAGTGTTTCTGAAGCTCGTCCTGTTTTGCGCCACCCGCCAGCCAAACAGGCGCAGCAATCTGACGCTGGCCTGTATCGTGAGCAATTAAACCGTCGCCGTCGGCTGCTGGTTGAGTGGCCGCTGCCCCAATGAAGTAGGTAAGGTAAGGCACTTGCCCAATGCAGCCTGGATGTGCTGCCTTTAAGGTCAGCTTCCCCCACCACGGGGTTGAGCCTATACCTGATTGTGGTTGCCAACCTTCCTGTTCGTAGTCTACTATGGTATATTTTACGAAATGAGCTGGATTCTCAGTGTCCAGTCCATTCAAATTCCACGTCATTATTGGGGTGACTTAGTCGACTTTCTGTTTTTCCTTTCAGTTGACTCAGGAAGGCAAGCATGAGCCAGGAAGATCTCAAAAAGATTTGCGAGCGATACCTATTCAATCTGAAGCCTAGTTGGGTGCCAAGTGCAATCATCACCACTGATTTTGAATAGTTAACCCTCCCATTCACTTGTGCACTCTGACTCTGACCTTGCTTGTTACACATTGTCACATTGGGTGTGACTTAGGTTTAGCCGACCCACTGACTGCTGATGAAATGCAGACTGTGTCTGCAGGTTTTGCCGAATGGCCAGTTGCCCAGATTCTGATTCCGCTGCCATGACCCATGGCCCATACTCATTGCAAGGCTCCTACCATATATATATACTCCAGATTCACTACTTA